CGCATCAACTCCAGAGATTCACGCGGTCGACCGCCACGGTCGACCGCCAACTCCCAGAAGCTCAGAAACGATCTGTGCACGAATGCGGTCGAACGCCAGAATCTTGCGGTCGACCGCCAAACTCTCAAAAGCACACTCATGTCTGTCCAAGCGGTCTTCTCCATACGCTCGCCATTTCTACAAGTACTTACAGTAATCCTTCATATACGAATTCATAACAAAGGCCATATAACCGCAGAGTAAAGAAAATTTATTCTCGTGCACCAACAATTTTCAGCAAAAGGGTAAAATAGATATTTCATAAATATTAACGGAGAAATTGATATATGGGTGGTTATATGTTAGAGTGAATTGTAGAATTAATTGTAGATAAGGGTAGTTTTCTAAAACTCGGATATTTAAGGGTGGTAATGTGAAATCAGACTAAGTTAAAGGTGGTTGCTTGAAAAAACCCAATAGTATGTCACATTAAATCATTTAACTATTTACAGTTAAAAATATCAAAAAATATAATCTATTATGATTAAAAGTAACAATCTTTTTATGTTCATTTTATGTTCATTTTATCATTTTAAAATTCTTTATGGATAAACAACTCAGCATATCCCTCCTTTTTATATAATGAGAAATTAGCGGAACTCCTAAAGGCACAAAAAAGTGACAACTAAGCACAAAAGATAGCGCCATGTGTCATATGTTAATTTAGTATTAAATTATAATTCTTATACGATAGGCTTATTTTATATCCTTAATTAGAATTCTTATCAAATTAAATCCATAATAATTAGAATTCTTATCAAATTAAATATATCTATAATTAGAAATTTCTAATTATATCTAAATTTTTAGCAACTAAAAAAATCTAATACTTATATTTTCAATTTTAATTATTTTTTATTGATTAAAAATAAAATAATTAGAAATTTCTAATTATAAAAAATTAGTAATTAAAAATCTAATGACTATATTTTTTTATTTTCTTTAATTATCTATAATTAATAATAATTAAAATTTTAACTCTCTTCTTCTTTTATATATAAAAAAGGATTAATGGCTTGCTATTAGCCATTGTTAAAAATGTCCTATGAATCTCCTTCATTCTTTCAAAAGATAAATTTTACTAAATTTCTAATTTTAGTCGTTTGGCGTTAAGCTCGCAAATATTTTAAATTCCCAATAAGTTTCAAAATTTTAGAAAATGACCAAAAAAATTTTCCCCACTTATCCTCGTAAGACATTGCACATAATATTATCCCTCGGGGCCCATATATACCTTCCAAATTATTCCTATTTACATATTAACTCATAAATTATTTAAAAACTTCTAAAAACTAGAAAAAATTATAAATAGCCCTCTAAAAGTATAAAATTACAAAATACCTCCTAAAAATCTAAAATTTATAAAAAACCTTTTTAGATTCTAAAAATTACAGCGAACCCCCATGAAAGAATCTAAAATTTACTAACCACCAAAAAATTAAGACTACCCCCTCTAGACTCTAAAAATAACAAATATATCACTTAAAATAAAAATATTACCAAAAAAACTTTAAAAGAAACTAAAATTACAAAAAGATCTTTGAAAAATCTAGTGAGACATCATAAGAAAAGAAATTTTGAATCTACTACTCTATGAGCGGAAAAATAAATTGAACTACATAAACGCGTAGAGATTGAAAACAAAATAGTTTAAATGCTCTTTTATATATAAAAATATATTTGTGATTTGTTATTAGTCTTACATTTCAAAAAAAAATACTACATGTCCCTTCCTAGTTTGAATTTAAAATTTTGAAATAAAAACTATTTACAAATTTATTAAGTGAGGTAGTGTTTTCTTTTGTTTTAATTTTGAAATACTATTAAAAAAGGGATGTTATAAAGGAGGGATTGTTGATTAAGCCTAATTTAAATTTCAAAATTTTAATTTAAAAAATATCTACGCTCTTATTTTGTATTTCCTTTAGGAGTTATTTAGTTCCAATTGTAAAAAGATCAAATTGTTTTCCATATGCTTACCACATCACCTTTAGAAATCTTAGGATAGATAATGTTTACATTTATTATGTTTGATTGGTTTGATAATCTATCTATATCTATATCTATATCTATATATACCCTTTAAAAGAGTCAGTTCCTGAAAAACTTTCCCATTCCCAAATTAACCTTCAACCAAATTAGATATACCTAATTTCTCCCA